CCATGAGCGAGTCCAGCGTCGGGGAGCTCCCGGCCCGCAGGCCTAGCCGACAGCTGGCCACACACCAAGGTAGGCTTGGAGGGTTCGGGGGAAAAGGGGGGCTCGGCGCGGCCTCAGGACGCTGCCAAGCGCGGGGGGCTCCGGGCTGGGGGGGGGAAGCGGGGCCGGCCTCGCCCTCCCCGGGTGCCCCGGCCCGGGGGGGGTGCGCGCCCCCTCCCAGACACCGGCTGCGGGATCTGGGTCCATCGCTAAGAAACAGGCTTCTCGATCAAAGGGAAAAGAACGTGGGAACCCCGACATTCCAGCCCCGCGCCCCCCTCCGGCCACGCCTCCTCCCCAGCCCCCCACCAACATGCGTGGAGGAGCTGCCTGCCTCCCGATCATCTCAGGCTCTGCCACTCCGACCAGCGGGGAACTCACTCTGCCCCAGAGTTTTAGGGTTTGGGGTTCTGGGGTGTTGTTTTTAATTGCTGGGTGACTTTTCCTCAGTGACTTGTCATCTCTGAGCCTCATCTGTTCAATGAGACTTGGAGGGCCGTAGTGGGATCCGCTGAAGAAAAGCAAAAAGTGTGGCTTAGCCCGGGTACTCAGGAGCAGTATTAAAGAGTAGCCAGCCAAAAACCATCGTCTTTTTTTTTTTTCTTTTAACTGGGCAAAATGTAAATTATACTGCTCTGAGATTTTTTTTTTCTTCTCCAAACATAACTATGTAAAACCACCGCTCTGTCAAGATAACAAAGTTGCCAGCACCCCGGCGGGTTTCCTTTTGTAGCTGCTGCTGTGAATTTTATTGAGCAATACTTTCATACTCGTTTGTATCTTCGGTGCTTAACAACACCACGGGCTTAGGGTAAAATATGAATGCATTTGGGATTGCTCTCACAAAGAAAAATCTAGGACCGACCTAACTCTAGATCCAAAGTGCTTGAATCAAGAGAGAGGGGAGGGGGGAGGGGGTGATATTTGAATGATCATGATTTCCCAGCTCAGTATTAACTCTGCTCTCACCAGTTCAGTTTAGCCTTTTCATTAGTAAAAGCCAGGGTCTGGGGGCTGTGACTTGGCCTGGCATAGATGAGGTCCTGGGATTCCATTCTCAACACCTTTAAAGAAAAAAACACAAAAGCATTTGTCTTGCTTTTAAGTTATCTTCCTCTTATTTGGCACAGTCGCTTACTTCTGTCTGGGATCTTTGCTGAGTATGTAAGGAGACTTCCAAGTCCCTTTAAGGGACCGCCCCCCTCCCAGTCCCTGGCACTATTTTTGTCCTCCTGTCGCTGTCAAGGGTGGGAAGCTCAGAGACAAACTCCAGTCCTTAACTTTATAGCACTTTGGATACAGTAACTTCTGGGCTAGGATAGGGAGTGGAAGCATTAGTCATCTGTGCCATGTTTAATAACAAAACACCTGAGCCAATCATTTATTTTTGGCTTCCAGTTGAAGAGGCTTTTGTTCACTATCGGTTGGCCTAGCTGCTTTTGGCTAACTGTGGGAACAGATGTGGGACAAAGCCAGCCTTTCAGGAAAGATAGAAGCAAAAGGCCAGGGGGCTGAAGAGGATGAGCCTGGGGTGGGTACCTGTGTCACCTTCAGCGGCACCATGCCAGGGACCTGGATGAATGCCCTTCTCTCCCACCTCAGTGATGTCTTCAAAGGGGCTTGAAGGGTTTGAGGGGTTTCCTGGCTTAGGGCCAGGAACAAGACTTCATTGTATCTTTTTTATTTTAGTTTTTAAACCTTTTTATTTGATTGCTCATGGGGCTTAAACTCAAGGTCTGGGCTCTTTTGCTCAAGGCTAGCATTCTACCACTTGGAGCCACAGCACCACTTCCCATTTTTCTCCTTATTGATTGGAACTAAGAATCTCAGACTTGCCTGTGATTCTCAGATCTCAGCCTCCGGTGTGGCTAGGATAGATTACAGGCGTGAGCCACCTTCATTATGTTTCTCTAGAACCTTTCTAGATCTTTTCTAGATACTCACCCTTCATTTGTCTTTGGACAGGCAGATTATCTTTGGACAGACAAATTAATTGTTTGGTGGCTCAGTATCCTTGCATGGTAAAGGCTTGAATGAATTCAGGAATTAGTTACCGTGCGCAGTAAGTCCCGCCCAGACTTGGTGATTTAGAGCAGTAATGATCCTGTGTTACCTCAGTTCCTGTGGGGCAGAAAATAAGGGGTGACTCCTGCTTGCCCCGGGGGTGGTTCGGCCTTAGGATTTCCTCTGAGGCTGCTGCAGTAGCACCCCGTGGGCACATGTGGACAGGTTTTTGGAGACATCTGCTTCAGGACCTGCCTAAAAGTGGACTTGTTGGGTCCAGGGTGAGCCTGCACTTAATTCTCCCATTCAGCTACATTCAATCTCTCCACTCTTCCCCATGAGCATTATTCAGGGTCCAGGAGAGTTCCCACGTGACTCACCCAGTTGCCCCAGAATGCTGTGGGGGACAGAGTTGGCCCCTGTGTGTGTTGGCTACAGAGTTCAGGGCCCTTCTCTGCTGCAGGGAGAGGATCATGCCATGCTGGCTCTGACCTTGCTTGCTAGAGGGCAGGCTTGGTGTGGGCTTAGGAGTGGGGAAACACCTAGAATAGTAGAGGCAAGACCCCTTATGGGAGGATCTAGAACCTTTTCCATTTGGTTTACCAAACTAGTCTTTATTTAATCAGCTCTGTGGCCCTGGGCAAGTCCCTAACTTCTTGGAGCCTTAGTCTTTTCAGGGAAAGTTGATGCTCCTGCCCTAGGAGGATTTAATGCAATCAAAGACTGCACCCTCTGCCCTGCAGGCTCGTAGTGGTAGAACTAAAGAAGGTCAGGAGGTGAGAGACAGCCTTCCTTACCTACAGGAAGAGTCACCATCCACACCTCTGTGACAGAAGGCAGAGTAGCCAGAGAAAGCATTCCCAATTTATTCCACCCATCCAAGTGTTATGTGCACTTGAAGACCCAGGGTGAACTTTCCATTTTTATGACAGCCTTGCAGACTTGTGATTGGACAAAGAGAGTGAGCTAACAGTATTGCAGACATGTGTTTGGATAAAGGGTGAGCTAACCGCTCTGCAGAAATTGATTGTTCAAAAGGTGGGCAGGAATCCAATAAGGCCTTGTTGTTGGTCACTCATTCATGTCTTCCTCCCTTCTGAGATGGAGTATTTCTGAGCTCCAACACTACTAGCATTATTTCTACTTGGGAGTTTTGGGATCCTAATGTTACAGGGTTTAATGACTGCATGTGCAGTGTCTAGACCTTTCTGAAGATATGCTAGGAGGTATGTAACAGAGTGGAGGAAACTATTACTTAGGTCTGAGTTCTGTATACTGTGTTAAGCCTGAAAAATAGCCACTTAACCTGTGGGGTTTATTTTCTCCCTTATCCAAGCCTGTTTGCCCAATGACCAATCACCCTTCAAAGCAGTCCGAGAAGGTGGGATGTTCTGGACAAGCTGGAGACTTGTCCAGGGCCATTTTCAGGCTGTACTGGTTCTTTGGCAACTCACCAGTCTGACTTTGGCTATTTTTTTTTTTCTCCCTCGGAAGGAGACTGAGCTCTGCCCAGCAACTGGGGCCTGATTGGGCCCATTGGCCCTGGGTGGTGTTTGTTTTTTTTTTTGTTGTTGTTGTTTTTTATTTCAGGAAGTAAAGAATTTCGAGGGATAAAGGGGGGAAATGGCTGTCAGTGTTATGCTGTTTGCTGCAGTCTGGCTGCCTAGGGGAGCATTGTTTGGGTCTGGGACCACCCAGACCTCCTGTTGGCTGTCCTTCCCCTCCGCCCTTCTGGAGGAGGGGAGGAGGAGGGAGGAATGTGAAGGAAGGGAGGAGAACCAGTTTGAGCTGGCTTTGGGGAGCTGGAGATGGAGGGAGCAGGGGTCCTGGCATCCATCTTGTTAAGCCGGGGTAGAGGGGGAAGGAGAGAGAACTGGAGCCCACTGATTGCTGGGAAGGAAATGAAGGGGAGGGTATCCCACTGGGAAGAGGTGTGGCGGGGAAGCCAAGGCCAATGAGAGGAGTCAGGTAGAGGGAGCACGGGGAGAGGAGGCTGCAAAGGCAGAGGGCTGGAGGCAGTCCCAACCCTGCTGGGTTTGAGGAAGGCCCCTCTAGGAGGAGCAGCAGTGGGAGGAGTCAGCCAGGCAGGGCTCATGAGGACCAGGCAGGCCCATGTCTACAGTTAGCTTTTGGACTCCATGTGTGTGGTGACTTTAATTCCTCATTGTTGTGTCTCCTGAGGTAGTGAGTGACTATATACCCCTTTACCCTTGTGGAAACAGGCTCTGAGAAGTTACTCAATGAGCCATTTGCCATGGTTTTGTGTGTGTGTGTGTGTGTGTGAATTGTTCTCCAAGGGGTCTCAGTGTGGCAAGCCATGTGTGATGGTATTGGCCCCTTTAAGAGGCGGGGCCTAATGGGAAGTTTTTAAGTTATTGGGGGTGGTGCCTTCCCCCATAGGGATTGTGGGACTCCAGGGTCATTCTCCCTCACACTGCCCCATCCTGAGGCATGGCCTGTGTGGGTCATGCAGTTGGACCTCCAGGACTAAAAGCGAAATAAATAAACCTCTTTATTTAAGACTGGGGACGTGGCTCAAGTGTTAGAGCACCTACCTAGCAAGCATGAGGCCAAAAAAAAAAATTTGTTTTTAAAGTCTGTCTCTGGTCTTTCATGATGGTGACATAGAACAGACGAATACGTTGCAGAAACAGAAGAACACTTGTGTCCTGGAGAGCAAGGGTCCGGGTGCTTGTGTGCAGATGACTGTGTCATTCATTCATCCTGTCCAGGCTCATGTTAACTGCCAGCTCAGTAAGAGTGAACAGGACCAGACATGCCTCTGAGGGCCTTTCCCCTGGAAACGCTCTTTCAGCCCCTGGGTTGCCTTACGGCAGAGTTCTCCTGTCTTTTACATCTGCAAAGTGAGGAAAGACCTGCACTGTAAACCCATTAAGAAATTCCCAGCTTCTTCCTAGTGCTAAAAGCTCCAGAAAGGCAAGGCCCTGGCAGTTGCCTCTACTGGTATTTAGCACTTTCCCTTTGGGTGAGGCAGTAGCCAAGGAGAAAACACACTCCCCAAAGGAGCAGCCTGATCCATGGCAAGAAGAGGCCAGACTGCAAATTCCAAATCACTGTGTATATTCAGTTCACCAGTAAGATAGCAGAGCACACACAGCCTACCAAGCGTCTAGTACCATTAGCGGAAGCTGCGTTCTAAGCCAAACATCTACAAGCTTACCATCTCTGGGCCAACAGCTTCCAGCCTGCCACCTATCTTTGTAAATAAAGTTTTATTGCCATTCATTTGTGGGTCATCTGTGGCCCTTTTCATGTGATAGGCCACCTAATCTCCTGTATAGACCTGCAGGAGGTGGGAGAACTGCTGTCCTCATTTGACAGGAGGGGAAACTGAGGCACAGAATGATCAAGAAACTTGTCAGGTTATACAAGTGGTGCTCAGCCCCAGGGAGGTGGCCTTGGGTACTGGGCCCTTGCCACCTTCTTTGAGATGCAGTAACTGATCCACACTGCCCCTGCTCCTCTCCCTCCACCCTCCTGCCTGAAACTGGCAGCCCTGGGTATGAAGTCCAGCTGGAACTCTGATTAGCAAGTTAGTCACCCAGGGCTCTGGAGAATGTGAGGCCCCGCCAGGCTTTTGCCACACCCAAGTACCTGTTGTGACTCATGCCTCATCCTCCCAACTGAGCTCTGTCTGATAAAGGAGGCCCTCCCCACTCAGGTGAGGCTCCTGGGATTGAAGCTTCTCTACCCTGTAGAAGCAGCCACTAAGTGACCACAAGCAGTGCAGTTTCCTACAGTTGGAGCAAACCACTTGTCATGTTGTAAGGACCAAGAGACCATTTCCTTCATGCCCCTGTGCAGTCCCGGCCCGACCTCCAGACCTGCAGTCTTCCAGCCTCAGCCTCCTGAGGTCTGGGAATGTACTACCATACCCCACTTCATGATCAGTACTTCAGATGGAAAAGTACTTAGTGCTCAGTACTGTCCTGGTTTCCAGCATCCAGGGAGAAGGGGTTGTCTCAGGACACGCACCTGAGGGGGAGGGGAGATGCTTGGAATTCCCACAGTTACTGGCAAGGGCTCAGGCCCCACAGCCTGCAGTCCCCTTACCCAGCGTTTCCATGGTCCCATGGAGGGAATCAGAGCACTCAGTATGCAGTGTGTCTACACTGGTGTTGGTTGGCGTGAGTGCTGAGGAAGCTGGAGGTGGCTCTCATGCTGGTGAGGTCATGCTTGGCCCACATCTGGGCGGGTCGGGCCCTGTCCTTTGGTGGACTTGATGCCCTCTGCAGAGAGCCACCAAGGAAGTCAGGACTAAGAGGATGCTGTCCAGGAGTGCCTGCCTTCTCCTGTTCATTCATTCATTCATTCATCTGTTCATCATTCATTCATCTGTTCATCATTCATTCATCTGTTCACTCATTCCTACATGCATTCATTCATTCATCTACCCATCATCCATGGTTTTATTCATATGTTCACTCATTCATTCATTCATCCATTCATTCACTCATTCTTCAAGCAGAAGGTCTCTAGGAACCAGGCACTATTTTAAGCTTTTTTTTTTTTTGGTGGTTGTAGGACTTGAATTCTGGGCTTGGGCTCTGCCCCTGAGCAATTCAGTTCAAGGCTAGTGCTCTACCATTTGAACCACAGCACCACTTCCGGTTTTCTGATGGTTCACTGGAGATAAGAGTCTCACAGACTTTTCTGCCTGGGCTGGTTTTGAATCTCTATCCTCAGATCTTAGCCTCCTGAGGAGCCAGGATTACAGGCGTGAGCCACCGGTGCCTGGCGACCATTGTAAGCTTTATCCTTGCCTGAAGAATACTCCATGACAGGGAAGGTAGTTCTACCTGCTTCTGGTCCCACAGCCCCTGTAGCACCATCCTTCCACTTCAGTAACTGTCTCATGGCTGAAGCCTGGGAGTTTCCGGTATTCCTGAATGGTGGCTCCCCAGTGCCTGGGTCATACCCCGGTGTGGGAAAACAGCCACACCCTAACTGCAGGACATCAGAGGCCAAGCTGACAGCAACCCCTCAGCTGGACCATCTCAGTGAACCTCCCACCCGTAACTGTGAGATGCTGCTTTATATTCTTCCAGCTGCTCAGAAGGCAGAGATGAGAGGGTGGTGATGGGAGACCAGCAAAGACCCAAGTTAGCAAGACACTCTCTCAAATGAGAAGATAAGAATGGTGGTGTACTCACCTGTAATCTCAGCTACACAAGAGGCAGAGATAGGACGGTCACAGTCTAAGGCAGCCCTGTGCAAAAAGTACAAGCTCTTATCTAAAAAAATAAATAAATAACCTGAAGTTAAAAGGGCTGAGTATGTGGCTCAAGTGGTAGAGTGCCTGCGTAGCACGCACAAAGCCCTGAGTTCAAATCCCACTACTTCCAGATAAAAATAAGTGTAGAGAAGCCTTGGGTGCCTGCCTCTGTTGGTGAGCAGGAAAGCGGGTGATACCATCCTTTGAAAAGGGCTTGGTCTCCTGAAGAGAGGGGACGGACTCTCATAAGTGAAGATGCCGCATGGAAAGTGTGCTTGGATTTGTTTTTTCTCTGGGGCCAAGGTTTGAACGCAGCGCCTTATACTTGCTTGTGCAGTTGCTCTGCTACTGGAGCCACACCCCCAGCCCTTTTAGTTTAGTTAACCTTTCAGATAGGGTCTTACATTGATGCCAGCCTTAGACTGCAGTCCACTTCCTCGTCCTTGTGCTGGGATCACAGACATGAGCCACCATGCCTGGCCTACAATAGGGATGATGGTGATCAGAGTTGGGGGTGTCACATGCGCTGATGCGTAGCAGCCTTCAGTCACGTGGCACAAAGTGAACTCCCAGTGACCCAGCCCGTGTGAATGTACATTGTATGAAGCCCTCCTTCCTCATCAGGCGGATGAGGCCCCAGGGTGGTGTACATCATGCTCACACGAGACCCCCTGCTGACCCTTTCTGTAGTGGCTGGGCCAGCCAGTGTCAGGCCATCCTTTCAAGTCAGCCCCTGCTTCGGCCTGGGGTTGGGTTTCTGACCCCCAGCTGCTGAATATTTAATAGGTCTTCTGCTCTCTGTTTAAAGACCTTTGTTTGTGGTTCATAATAGTTCTTTGTGGCCGCTCCTGAGGTGGGCGGGGCCTCCTGGCAGCGTGAGGCCCTGTGGCCCCTGGGGTCCAGTGAGTCAGGGGAGTCTCTGTTACTAAGCCTGTGTGTCATATCCGCAGGGCATGTTGAGACAGATAAGGGAGGGGGAGCTCGGAGGAGCTGTGTGGCCACTGGCAGAGCCCCAGGCACTGGACTCTGTGTGTCTCTCACTGTGGGACCAGGTCCTGCCTGGTCCTCCTGGAGCCTTGTGGGATAGGCTAGGGGCTCTCCTAGGATCTGCTACGCCTTCAACCCTGTGCCCTGTGCAAAGCCGGTCCCCAGCAACCCTGTAAAGCCAGATCTGAACATGACATGCCAGGACCACAGTCCTCAGCAGCCTCGGTCCCACCTGCAACACTGCACCCCACACTGTGGGACAGGAATATTACTAGCCCCATTTGGAAGACAGACCACACATTTTCCTGGTGGCTACAGACAGTCACAGCACTCAGAGTGTAACTTAAAGCGTGCTCGTGAACACCTCCAGTCAACGAACCTACCTGCAGATGATTTCTCTAGCCTCAGGCGAGTGGCTATCTGCAAGGTTTGGTTATAGTCTCTCTCTCTCTCTCTCAGATCAGTTGTAGGGCTTGAACTCTGGCACTGTCCCTGAGCTTCTTTGTGCTCAAGGCTAGTGCTGTACCACTTGATCCACTTCTAGTTTTTGAGTGAATAATTAAGAGATGAGTCTCACAGGGTCTTTTCTTACCCAGACTGGCTACAAAAAATGATCCTCAGATTTCAGTCTCCTTAGTAGCTAGGATTACAAGCATGAGCCACCAGCACCCAGCTAGTTATGGTCTCTTAAGACCCAAGGCTCCTCCTGTACCAGTGTTGTTCTTGGCTAATGCCAAGGTGTGACTGATGCCTTCCCTTTTCTTCCTTAGAGAACCTCTCTGTGGATTCCAGTTGCTTCTCCTCTCCACCTGTGAACTTCCTTCAAGAATTGCCCAGTTACCGGTCGGCCACACGCCGGAGAACCACCGTCCTTGCCCGGGATAAGCAGAGTAGCATATTGCTGAAGCCATCAGACTCTTACAGCTCTCAACGAGAGGGAGAAATCACAGAAAACCTCAACACGCAGTCCATCCGGAAGTATGCACTGAACATCTCCGAGAAGCGGCGGCTGAGGTCTGTTCATTCGTCACCTAGAGGCTGCATAACAGCTTATTAAGTGTATTTATTTTCTTTTTATTTATTTATTTTGGTCAGTTGTGGGACTTGAACTCAGAGCCTGGGCACTGTCCCTGAGTTCTTTTGCTCAATGCTAGCACTCTACCACGTGAGCCACAGCATCACTTCTGGTTTTCTGTGGGTTACTCGCAGATAAGAATCTCACAGTCTTTCCTGCCCGGACTGTGAACCGGGATCCTCAGATCTCAGCTTCTTGAGTAGCTAGGATTACAGGCATGAGCCACCAGCATCTGGCTTTATAAGTGTATTTCTTGTTTACATAGAATTCTAGGTTCAAGTCATTGGAAACTTGCTATCACTCAGGGACCCAGACTCCTTCCGTATTGTGGCTCTGCATTCCACCTCCTGAACCCCTTCCTGAACCCTCTCCAGCCAATGGGAAGGAGTGAGCTCATTCTCCTTAAAGCTGGGTGTATAGTGACTCACCCTCTATGGTTTAGAAACCTAAATAGTTTCATCAAGTTGGGAGGCAGCTGTGGCCAGTTGTGGCTGGGCAGGTGCTTCTGTGATCCTGACTGGGGTCAGCTGGCTGCAGACCTGTGTAGCTCAGCCTTCTTCTCCGTATTAGCCTGGCTCCAGGAGGAGGAGCTGAGCTCAGGCCTCCTGAGGCCAAGCTTAGAACCAGCACGGCTTCACACCACATTCTGTGGTATAAGCAGATCATGCTGCCAGTCTAGATGCTGTGAATGGAAAGAGCTGTGCTCAGTAACTTAGCAGGGAAGTGGTGGCAGGGGGAAGGAAAGAGGGAGGTGGAAGTGGATGGAACAGGCTTTAACAGCAGGAGGAAGGGCAAGAATGTAGCTGTTATTGACTGGAAAGGGACAAATGCCAAGACCCAAGGTAGGGTCAAGAAATCATGTGATAGACTTGGGATTGGGCCTAGGAGAGAGGTAGAGAGGCCTGTGAGCCAAGATCTACCTAAGAGAGACCTTGAGTGCCATGTAAAGGATGTTCTTTTATTCTTTAAATACATATGGGTCATAAAACTAAAATATCAATCTCTCTGTTCATCCTTCCATCCAGCCATTTTCCCAGCACTCCATTATCTATCCATCCTTTCTCCCATCTCCCAGTCCACTCATTCACCTATTCATCCATCCATCCTGTATACCTACCCATCCATCCACCCATCCATACCCCTGTCTACCCATCTACCCATCAGCCATTCATTCTCTCATCCATCCATCCACCCACCCTCCTAACCACCCATCTATCCATCTATCCATTATCCATCCGTCATCCATCCTCCAATCTACCCACCCACCCACCCATTTATCTGTCCATCTCTCCATCCTCTCATGCATCTACCCATCCATTTCTCCATCCATTCTTCTGTCTGTCTATCTATCCATTGATCCATCCATCCATCCATCCATCCATCTTCTCATTCATCCATCCTTCTTCCCTTCTCCCATATATTGTTTCTGCCTTCTTTCACTTAGTATGATGTTTCCAAGTTGTAGCAGAGATCAGATTCTTTTTCATGGCTGAATAATATTACAAGGTATGTATAGACCACTGTTTATCCATTGTCACCAGGGACATTCAGGAGACACAAATGCAGTACTTATCGGAGTGGGACCAGTGGAAGCGGTACAGCAGCAAGTCTTGGAAGCGATTCCTGGAGAAGGCTCACGAGATGACAGACCACCTGGAGCTGTGGCGGAAAGACATCCGCAGCATCGAAGGTATCCAGAGGCCCAGGAGCCCCCTCACGTCTGCACTCCTGAGTCCTCCCATGATGACTATGGGCGACAAGCCACACAGGGTCATAGCAGAGCCTGAATCTTGAGTACAAATGCTAAGGGAAGTCATACATACTAGTCTACCCTCTGTTTGATTGCTGTAGAGGTCTTGGAATCATATCACAGTCATTAGGCTTTATTAGGACTTGAACTCAGGGCATGGGCACTGTCGGTTAGGCTTTTCACTCTGTGATTGAGCCACAGCTCCACTTGTGGTTTCTTGCTGGTTAATTGGAGATAAGACTGTTATGGACTTTGCTGCCTGGGTTGTCTTCAAACCTCAGTCCTCACATTTCAGCTTCCTGAGTAGCTAGGATCATAGGCATGAGCCACCAATGCCCAGCCACATCCATGCCTTTTAATGGCAAACTGCCTGGACTTGGCACACTTCAAAGCATCGGTGAGATGTGAGCTTCAGAGGCAGGAAAGGTTCCCATGGCTGTGAAAATACCAAGAACCTCTGCTTTTCCCATTGTGCAGCACAGTGCTGTGTTTGTCATCTTGTGCAGTTAGAACGAAGTACTGTAGACAGAAGGACTTAAGAAACAGAAGTTTGGGAACTGGGAGTGTAGCTCGGTGATCAAGGGCCTGCCTTGCATGCATGAGGTCCTGGGCTCCATTCCCAGAACTACAAAAACAAAAGGAAAAGAGCAGGAGGAAGGAAAGAAGAAAGGAAGGGAGAGAGGAAGGGAGAGAGGAAGGGAGGGACTCTGGTCTGGGGGCCAAAACAGCTGCTTTGCTGTGCTTAGATGGTTTAGCTTTGTATATTTGGGGTGCCAGATGGAGGAAAAAGAAGACTAGAGGTAGGGAGGGACAGGGTATAGCTGGAAAACATAGTCTTCATTGCAAGCTAGGCCCTGAATTTAAATTTCCTGTACCACCAAAAGAGAAGTCTCACCGAGTACAGCAAAGGGGCAGGGCAGAGTTCATATATGTACATAAAGTCAGTCTATCAGTGATGGATCGATGAGGAATTTCCTGCAAGAAATGCTTTTCCTCACCTTACATCTTCCTTGTAGGAAAAATTTTAAAAAAAAAGAAGAAAAGAAAATAAAGGCTCTGGGAAGTGGTGCTTTGAAGCCACAGGTAGAGAGGTAAAGAAAGCTAGGGTTCCTTCTGCGTACCTCTGACCCGGTATCCCCAACTTCAGCCCTGCATGGCTGATGGAGAATCTATTACTCTGTCGTGTGGATCACCAACATTCTGAATTTCTTCTCTCCAGGGAAGTTTGGCACTGGGATTCGGTCTTATTTCTCCTTCTTGCGCTTCCTGGTGTTGCTGAATTCGGTGATATTTCTCATCATTTTTACGCTGGTTTTGCTCCCGGTCTTGCTCACCAAGTACAAAGTCACCAACAGCACCTTTGTGCTCATTCCATTCAACGACATTGGTGAGTGTAAGGCCTGCTTTTACCTTCATTCATGTTTGGTCAGACTTGGAATTCACCACGATGGGCTAGGTTATGCTGCAAGGAAAAAGGAAAAAAAAGAAAAGAAAGCAGAACTCCACAGCTGTTAGGGTCCTGTGATTGCAAAGGTTCTTTTTTTTTTTTTCTCTCTGCCATATGGTCTTCACTCTGGAGACCATGCTTGGTGAGGTTTCTTCTGTCTAGACTCCTATCTTGTGTTTTTTTTTGACTGGCACTGTGGGGATTCTTCCTGTCCCATTGCTTGTTTTGTCTAAGTGAGTTCTTGAGAAGTCTTCCTGTGATTGGCTAGGCTATATCATGTGATCTTCCATGAGAAAGGCTGCCCCAGGCCCACAGTGAAGTCATCAGGAACAGAGCTGGGCCTAACCGGAAGCCCTGAGTCTCTCCTGGCTCAGTCTAGATATATTCTGAATATAGAGCCTGAATATACTCAAGCCAGTGGCTCATGAGTGTTTTCAGTTATTGACATCTTGAGGTAGTTTGTTATACAGCAAAACTGACTGATACAAAGCAGAGGTGAGTTACTCATTCAAGCCTTAAGTAGCATGAAAACTGATGTTAAAAATGGATCGAATAAGCTGGGAACTAGTGGCTATAATCCCAGCTACTCAGGAGCTTGAGATCTAAGGATCATGGCTTGAAGTCAGCCTATGTAGGAAAGTCTATGAAACTCTTATCTCCAATTCAGCATCTAAAAAGCTGAACATGGTAGAGCTCAAGTAGAGCCCTAGCCTTGAGCAAAAAAGCTAAGTGATGATACCCCACACCCTGAGTGCAAACCCCAGTATGGCACACACACAAAAAATACTGAATAACGATGCATGAATAAATATGCATTTTTATGTGATGTGTTGAAGAGCAATGATAATTCAAAATCCTGAAACACAGAAACATGAACCCAAGACACACAGAAAACCCACACTGTACGTGCACAGGACCACACTGTGCACAGAAAGGACATGATTGCTCAGGGAGGAGAAGGAAGGCAGGCAAGAATCAGCAGTCAAGCAGAAAAGAAATGAAGGGAATGGTGGCTGTGTTGGATCCACTGGGGTTCAGTTACTTGCATGTAGATGCATGCAGATACGTGGGGGCATACCTAAAGGCGTGTCCCCTCTTTGCACAGCCTCTTGCAGCTCCTCCTCTTGCTTCCTTTCTGACAGACATGGAGTGTACTGTCTACCCTGTGAGCAGTTCCGGACTCATTTACTTCTACAGCTACGCCATAGACCTGCTTTCCGGCACTGTGAGTGTCTCCCCTGGCTTGTTGCATCTTGAACTCGGGGCCTTAGCACTACCACCTTGAGCCGCAGCTCCATTTCTGGTTTTCCAGTGGCTCATTGGAGATGGAGTCTCACTTTCTAGACTTTCCTACCCAGGCTGCCTTTGAACCTTGATCCTCACATCTCAGTCTCCTGAGTAGCTAGGATCACAGGTGTGAACCACTGGCATCCAGGTTACTTTTTTTTTGTTTGTGGTGGTGATATTGTGGTTGGAACTCAGGGCCTCACCCTTGTTTGCTAGGTGCCCTCCTACTGAACCATTCCTCTAGTCCTGATTCCCCTTGTTCCTTTTCATTGGTGAATAATATTTACTTGCATGCCAAGTCCCATTTTACTGACTCATAGTGGGCATTTGTATCCATCTTCTAGCACCTGTGAATACTACTGCCATTGTGTGCCCACACTGCTCTTGGTAGACACCTAAGGAGTTTGAATCCCTGGGTCAAATGACAGCCCTGAGTTTAAAACTTTCTTTTTTTTGGGGGGGGGGGTCCAGTCATGGGGCCTGAACTCTGGGCCTGGGCACTGTCCCTCAGCTCTTCAGCTCAAGGCTAGCGCTCTACCACTTGAGCCACAGCACCACTTGTGGCTTTTTTCTTTTTGCTTATGTGGTGCTGAGGAATCGAACCCAGGGCCTCTGGCATGCAAGGCAAGCACTCTACCACTGAGCCACCTTCCCAGCCCCGAGTTTAAAACTTTCTGAAGAACAGCCTGATGTCCAAATCAGCGGCACTATCTTACATTCCCACTGGCAATAGAGGCATTCCCTTTTCTTCCACAAGCTGTCCCTGTTTAATTCTGTCCATGCCAGGCAGTAGAAAGCAATCTCAATGTGGGTTTTTGTTGTTTTTGTTTTGTACTCTTGGATGGTACTGGGATTTGAACTCAGCACCTCCCATTTGCTTTCCTGCTGAGCCATGCCCTCCCTCGCCTTTACCATGGTCTGCCTTCATTTTTCTGCATGTGGCTGTCTAGATGTGTTGGTATGATTGGCTGGAAAGCCTTCGTCTTGAGAAATTAGTTGACCGTCGATGAACTGATTCATTGCTGGATAAGCTAATGTCTCTTCTGCCCCGTGTCCATTACTCCTGCTTCGGAGTTAAGTTTTGAAGCTGAGATCTTCCAGCTTCATTCTTTTCTTCAAGGTGGTTTTGGCTCTGCCTGGTCCCTTGCAATCCCCAAAGAGCTTTCAGATGAGCTTTTCAGTTTCTACCCAAAACCCAGCTGGGATCTGATAAAAGATCGTGTGGATTCCCTGCCAGGGGGCTCCCTATCCGTGAAGATGGTATGCTTTCCCAGTTATTTTGATGATTAGTATTTTTTTAACATCAAGTTAATAGTTATAGAGTACAAGATTTGCACTTGAATATTTATTCCTAAGGATATGATTCTTTGCGATGTCCTGGCTCATAAGAGAGTTGCCTTATTTCCAGTTTGAGGGAATGATTCATCTGGGTATTTTATTTTCTCTTTTGAGCTTTTTACATAATTGTTATCATACAGGTGATATACAGAGGGGTTACAGTTATATATGTCAGATAAAGAGTACATTTCAGACAGTGTCACCCCTTCCCTCTGCTCTCTCCCAGATTTTCCCTCCTGTCTTCACCCACAAGTTGTATAGTTCATTTTCTACACAGTGTCTAGTGAGCACCACTGCTGCATTTGTCCATCCTTTGTCTCTCCATTTCTGTGGCCACCTCTTTACCCTTCCAAAGACAGATAAATGAAAAAGACGAAAAGAAAACAACCAGGAAGGAACAGAAGAACCCCTCATTATCATTAACTGGAGTTCATTTTGATAAATATTATTTGATATGATCAGAGACACAGACATTGCGCCTTTGTATTCTTCCCCTAAGAGTGTCCTCCCTTGGTCTCACTGCGTGTGGATGCCTGGAGTCCTGTATCATTTATCATGTCCCCATCCGGGTATTTCATTGCTCAAGATTTATCAACCCCTTCCTTCCCACTACTGCCCTCAAACAATTACAGAGTTGCCTCTGGCCCCTGTGGCTGTTTTGGTGCCTAGGAATACAGGATGAGCAGAGATGCCTCCTCTCCTGGTCACCTGCACTGAGCTGACCTGTCTGAGCTCACGTGCTTGGCTCTCTGTTCCAGGGTTTCTTGGAAGGGACCAGCCTCTTCTACGGACACTACACCATTGATGGGGTGAAATTCCAGAACTTCACCTATGACCTGCCTCTCGCTTATTTGATCAGCACAATCGCCTACCTGGCCCTGAGCCTCCTTTGGATCGTGAAAAGGTAGCAATGTTCATCACATTCTCCTTGAGTAGGCCACAGCTGAGGAGAGAGGGAAGGAGAAGAGAATGGGAGGGGCTGGATCCCCACACCCTTCGAGGCCACGCCCCAAAGACCTAACTTCCTTCCACAAGGCTCCGCCCCTAAAGGTTGCAATGCTTTCCAGTAGTACTGAGAGATTAGGAACCCAGCCTTCAACCTGAGGGCTTTGAGGGTCACCCCACATCCAGATGGAAGGGGCAAGCTAGGAAAAGGGTCATGGGAAAGAACCATCTATGGAGTAGGGAGTGAGTGGAGACTGCCAGGTATGAGGGCATGAAGAAAGGAAGAAGGATTTGTATGTTTATGGACAGGAAAGATCACCACCAAAGTTACAGTCAAGTTGCCTCATGGAAGAGGATCATATAGCTAATCTTCAGGTTGTCTAAAAGAGTTGAGTTTGGAGCTGAGTGTGGTAGGGCATGCCTGTGATCCTGGTTCTCGGGGAGGCTGAAGTTAGGAGGATTGCAAGTTTAAGACCAGCCTGGGCTCCATAGATGGATAAACCAAAATAATTTTGAACCATGACATGCCTGGTTAAGCGGACACAATTGTTTCGAGTGGTACAAACTTGATCATATCAAATGGACCTAAAATACAGCCACATCTGACTTCTTGGATTTTATTGTAATTAATTAATTCTTTATGGGGACTGAGGCTTGAACTCAGGGCCTTACTTTCTTTTTTCTTTCTTTTTTTTTTTTGTCAGTCTTGGGGCTTGAACTCTGGGCCTAGGTGCTGTCCCTCAGCTCTTCACCTCAAGGCTAGCACTCTACCACTTGAGCCACAGCGCTACTTCCACTTCCGGTTTTCTGAGTGGTTTATTGGAGATAAGAGTCTCACAGCCTTTCTTGCCCGGGCTGGCTTTGAACCACGATCCTCCGATCTCAGCCTCCTGAGTAGCTAAGGTTATAGGCGTGAGCCACCTGCGCCAGGCTTGGGCCTTACATTCTTGCTTAGCTTTTTTGCTCAAGGCTGGCACCCTACCTCTTGAGCTACACTTCCACCTCCAGCTTTTCTGCCTGTTAATTGGGATGAGTCACTCAGATTCGTCTGCCTGGGCTGGCTTCAAACCAGGATCCTTCAGTCTCAGCCTCCTGAGTAGCTAGAATGACAGGCTTGAGCCAGTGCAAGGCTAACTACTTAGATTTGTCAGCGCAGCTCATTCATAGGCCTTGTCATAGGCCTTGCTGTTACCAGAAAGCCCTTGTGTTCTGGGGGGGGGTCAGGTCGGTGGAGGGGTTCAAAATCAACCTGATTCGGAGTGAGGAGCACTTCCAGAGTTACTGCAACAAGATCTTCGCAGGCTGGGACTTCTGCATCACCAGCCACAGCACGGCCAGCCTGAGGCACAGCAGCCTACGGTACGAGCTCCGGGTGAGTGCGGCTGGCCTCTTCCTTGCGGGGTCCCTACTGGCCAGCGTGTGCCAGGCCATCGCTGGCCTCAGCCAGTCTCTCCTTAGTCATTTTCCAGATGAATGGAAGCGGGCATTGGTGACCTGGAGCTGGGGCTGGATCCCCACACCCTTCGAGGCCACGCCCCAAAGACCTAACTTCCTTCTCCAAGGCTCCACAAGGGAGGTGGGGACCCACAGCAGTGGGCTGAGATACAGTGTCCTCCCTCTCCTCTCTGCTGTCTTGATTACACCGTTGTTTTCCCACTTGCTGAGAATCTGTGAGAAGCATTGCTTATGTTGGAGAAGTGAGAACAAGAAGTCCTGCTAGGCACTGGTGGCTCATACCTATAATCCTAGCTACTCAGGAGGCTGAGCTCTGAGGATCACAGCTTGAAGCCAGACCAGGCAAAAAAGTCCCCGTAAGACTCTTGTCTCCAACTAACGATTCAAAAACCAGAAGTAGAACTGTGGCTCAAAGTGATAGAGCAGTAGCGTTGAGCAAAAGAGCTTAGGGCCTCACGCCAGACCAAAAAAAAAAAAAGATGGATGGAGAATATACCACAGGTTTCACCCAAAATATCCCAGTGCTTGCCGGTAAGTTTTCTTTGGTCCTCAGGCAGACCTGGAAGAAGAAAGAATCCGGCAGAAAATAGCAGAGAGGACCTCAGAGGAGACGATCCGCATCTATTCTCTGAGGCTGGTGTTGAACGGCCTCGTGCTGGCTGTGTTGTCCGTGTGCTTTTATGCCATTTATGTGGCTACTACCTTCTCCCAAGAGCACATGAAAAAAGTAAGTGCTCCCCCCTGCTCCCCCCCAGCTTGCACTCTGCGGGGACATTGTGCCAAGTGCCTGGCAGAGGCCACCCTCTGTCTACCCCTTGTTCATGTCGGGTAGAGGAGAACAGAACATCAGAGGTGGTAGATTTCCACCTTGAAGGAAATTCAGAAGGGTCTAAAATTGAGTGTGTGAGATTCTTTCTCCTCCTGGAATTCACTGTGTTCACGTCTGGGTTGCCTAACTTTTATCTCCAATTCCTCTGCTTATCGCTGGAGCGCCAATTAGCATAAATAGCAGTGATTTTTTTTTTTTTTTTTAGAAAGCACTTTGGAAGAGCTGGGTTCCAGTGGCTCATATCTAGAATCCTAGCTACTCAGAAGGCTGAGATCCAAGGATCACGATTCAAAGCCAGCTCAGAAGGCTGAGATCCAAGGATCATGATTCAAAGCCAGCCCAGTCAGGAAAGTCCGTGAGACTCTTACTTTCAATTAACGACACACACAAAATGTCAGAAGTGGAGCCATGGCTCAAGTGGGTAAAATGCTAGCCTTGAGTAAAGAAGCTCAGAGGTAGCACCTAGGCCCTAAATTTGAGCTCCAGGACCAGCACGCGCACACACACACACACACACACACACACACACACACACACACACATTGAAAGCTGAGTGTGTAGAGGCACAGACCTGCAATCCCAGCACAATTTGACTTACAGAACAAAGCTTCGTCTCAAAACAAGAATGAAACCCCAAAAAAATCCAGGTTGGAGCTGGGCACTGGAGACTCATGCCTGTAATCCACACTACTCAGGAGCGTGAGAGCTGAGGATTCTGATTGAAAACCAGGCCAGAGAGGAAAGTCCATGAGACTTTTTATCTCCAGTGAACCACCAAAAATAAGCTGGAATAGAGGTGTGGTTCAGGTGGTAGAACGCTCACCTTGAGCAGTAAAACCAAGCAAGAGCATGAAGACCTGAGTTCAAGCCCCAGTACTGGCACGGGAAAATGTAATTTCAAGTTGTTCTAGTGGCCCAGGTTCCAACCATCTTGTGGGATCTGTTGTCCATGGGCTATGGCCCTTCTCTCTATAGTTCAAATAGGTGAAGAGGCTGGGGAGGGCCAGTCTCATCCTCTGAGGACATGACCTGCAGCTTGACTGGAAATTTCTACTCATACTTTCTTGGCTAGAATTAACTTACCTGGCTATAGCTAGCCAGCTACAGGGATGGCTAAGAAATTCAGTGTTTAGCCAGGCACCAGTGGCGCATGCCTGTAATCCTAGCTACTCGGGAGGCTGAGATCTGAGGATTGTGGTTCAAAGCCAGCCCAGACAGCGAAGTCCTCATGAGACTCTTATCTCCAATTAACCATTCAAAAACTGGAAGTGGCTCTGAAGCTCAAAGTGGTAGAACTCTAGTCTTGAGCACAAGAGCTTAGGGACAGCGCCCAGGCCCTAAGTTCAAGTTCCATGACCAACAAAAGAAAGAGTGGAGGGGGGTGGGGATTTAGTGTTTACCCTGGAAAGCTGTGATTGATAACTATGAAAGGACAAAGACAGTTATAACAAGTCAATTAACACCGCATTCTTGAAAATCCTTTAGCTTATTCATTTGTGTAGGATGTGCGGCATTTTTAAAAAAATAAACTTTACCTTTATACGTCCAAGAGTTTGTTTTTCTTCCAAGGAGATGGCCTGTGATTCGGGCAGTGTTGGATGGACTTTAGGTTGGCCCATGACACCATCACGGTGGCCGGCCTGAGTTCAGCTCTTTGGTTTCTCAGCATCCCTTCTTGTCTTCCTGACCTGTGCATGCTGTTTTCTCCCCCAGGAAATCGACAAGATGGTCTTTGGCGAGAACCTGGTGATATCCTACCTGCCGTCTATTGTGATCACACTGGCCAATTTCATCACCCCCATCATCTTCTCTAAAATCATCCGCTACGAGGATTACTCCCCAGGCTTTGAGGTCCGGCTCACCATCCTCAGGTAATGCCTAACTGGGGGTATGCCAAATCCACCAAGTGCTCTACCACGTGAGTCATAGCTCCGCTTTAGGCTTTGGGGGTGATTAATTAGACATAGGAGTCTCACAGGGACTTGTCTTCCTGGGCTGGCTTCAAACCGTGGTCCTGAGATCTCAGCTTCCTGAAGAGCTAGGATTATAGCTGGGAACCACCAGCACCTAGGTGAAATCTTTTTTTAAAAAAAGTAGCAGCTAGGCACCAGTAGCTCATGCCTGTAAGCTACTCAGGAGGCTGAGATTTGAGGATCTCCATTTGAAGCCAGCACAGGCAGGAAAGTGTGAGACTCTTACTTATGTCCAGTTAACCAGTCCCCCACACCCCTAACAACAACAACAACAACAAAGAAGCAGGAAATGGAGGTATGGCTTAAGTGGTAAAGCACCAGCCTTGAGTGAAAAAAATAAGGGACAGCACCCAGGCCCTGACTTCAAGCTCCAGGACTGGTACATTAAACGAATAATAATAGTAGTAGCAATGCTATTACTAATAAATAAAGTACCTTCGTATCACCATCAGCCACCTGCAGAACTTCCCATTGTTTCTAGCACAGAAACTGCCCCCACGTGTATTGTCTTGGTGCTGGAATGACGGTGCCCTGTGCATTGCCCCTGCCCTGTCCCCTGCTGCTCTGCAGGTGCGTCTTCATGCGCCTGGCCACCATCTGTGTGTTGGTCTTCACGCTGGGCTCCAAGATCACATCCTGTGGGGACGATGCTTGCGAACTCTGTGGCTACAACCAGAAGCTCTACCCGGTGAGTGAGCCACAGGGCTGGCGGCCGCCTTGGGCTGCATCTGGAGGTCGAGGGCCTATTGAGGGGTGGGCGTGGCTCCCATCCTCTTTCTAATGTGCTGGGCACCATTGGGGCCTTGAAAAATGGAAGGAGTGGTGGGTTTGGGGAAGGACAGGTGGTGGGAAAGGTCTGGGACCCTGACTCCCTCTGAGTGTGTCTTTTTGTCCTTTTCGGTTTCAGTGCTGGGAGACCCAAGTGGGGCAAGAGATGTACAAGCTCATGGTCTTCGACTTCATCATCATCATGGCTGTGACGCTGTTTGTGGATTTCCCTAGAAAGTAAGTGACTGCACAAATGCGGGATGGCTCCGGCGTCCCCAGGAAGCCAGGGACACTACCAGTGACTTGCAGGTGGCCCTAGGCCATTGACATCACCCCACATTAGCCAGGCTGTGTAAATTAGGCAGCACTGAGGGTAGAAATGGAACTGCCTCCACTAGGCTTCCTGCCCTGGGCAGGGCCAACACCCTGTTGGTGTGGACTTCTGGACTGCAGGGCGCCAGGCTTCCTGACCTGCCCAGCACTACCTCCCGCTGACGGTGACATGGGCAGCTGTGGAGCCCACAGCAAGTGAGGTTAAATCAGGATATACCATAAAGGCCTCAGAATAGCCAGAAACTGGTGGCCCACGCCTGTCATCCTCACTATTCAGGAGGGTGGAGATCTTAGGGCTGAGGTTCAAAGCCAGCTCAGACAGGAAAGTCTATGAGAGTCTTATCTCTAACTACCAAAAAATGAAATAGAGCTGTGGCTCAAGATATAGAGGGCCAGCCTTGAGTGAAAAAGCTAAGGGACAGTGCCCAGAGTTCAAGCCTCAGCACATGCACACAAACACATACATACAACAACAACCACCATCAAAACTTTAGCCAGGCACTGGTGGCTCATACCTGTAATCCTAGCTACTCAGGAGGCTGAGATCTTTAGGATAGTGGGTTGAAGCCAGCCCAGATGGTGAGATGTCATCTCCAAAATAGCTGGCAAAAAGCCAGGCTGGAGGCATGGCTGAAGTGGTAGAGCAGCAGCCAACAAACACAAAGCCCTGAGTTTAAGCCCTAGTACTACCAAAAACAAACTTTAGGATGAGGAATATAGCTCAGTGGTACAGCACTTACCTGGCGTTCAAGAAGACCACTACAAACACACAAAACAGAACCTCTATTTTAAATGACACAAATATGGTAACTATATATGTATTAAAAATCTACAATTTAGCCAGGCATGGTGGCTCATGCCTGTGACCCCAGCTTTGCGGGAGGCACAGATGGAAAGATCAAGGTTTAAGGATAGTCCAGGAGAAAATTAGCCAGACTCTGCCTTAAAGAACAAACTGAGCCAGGGACCAATGGCTCATGCCTGTAGTACTAGCTACTCAGGAGGCTGAGATCTAAAGATCACAGTTCAAAGCAAGCAAGAAAACCTATGAGACTCTTATCTCCAGTTAACCACCAGAAAACCAGAAGTAGTGCTGTGGCTCAAAGCGGTAGAGCACTAGCCCTGAGCCTAAAAACTCAGGGATGGTGCCTAGGCCTTTTTTCAAGCCCTAAGACCAACAGCAACAGTAACAACAAAGCTGAGTGAGCATAGTAATCCACATTTATAATCACAGCTGGGTGGGAAGTGGAGGTAGGAAGATCAGCTTAAAGCCCTGGGCAAAGCCTGAAACCCTATCTGAAAAACTAAAGTAGAAAGGGGCTGGGGAATCTTTTTAGGTCATATTCAGGACTGGGTATTATTTGACTGGGTTCTTGGCTTAGACTTCAGCTGTGCTGATTCACTCCTAGGGGGGTGAATCCATAGCTGGGTCTGTGGATCTCGGGCACCTGGTCCTGAGGTTCGTGGAGGAAGCCTCTGGGGTACTGGGAAGGGGTTCTGGCCTGTAGCAGCATCCTTGGAAGCTGTTTCCTTCATGGAGGGTGGTTTTGCACCAATGAAAATGGCCCTCAAAGATGTCCTGAGCACTTGTACTGATTGCTTACTTTGTGAAGCTGAGACTCAGAGCCTGGTTTTCCTGAGACCAGAGTTCAGTAAATTCAGAGTATTTAAGAGCCATGTGTATTTCAGTGTATTATTTAAGACTTAGCTGTTTCGTGACAACAGCCTGGCTTTGGTGGGCCTGGCTTTGAGGCCTTCACAGACGCCTGTAGCCGAGGTGGGAGATGGTGTGGTTTGTGTTCCAGGCTCCTGGTGACCTACTGCTCCTCCTCGAAGCTGATCCAGTGCTGGGGGCAGCAGGAGTTTGCCATCCCGGACAATGTGCTGGGGATCGTGTACGGACAGACCATTTGCTGGATCGGAGCCTTCTTCTCCCCACTGCTCCCTGCCGTCGCCACCCTGAAGTTCATCATCATCTTCTACGTGAAGAAGGTAGGCCCATGGACTCTGTCTCAGAAATAACCACACAAGCTGGGCGCCAGTGGCTCACATCTCTCATCCCAGCTACTCGGGAGGCTGAGATATGAGGATCATGGTTCAAAGCCAGCCTGGGCAGGAAAGTCCCTGAGACGCGTATCTCCAGGTAACCACCAACACAGCCGGAAGTGGAGCTGTAGCTCAAGTGGTAGAGCTAACTAGCCTGGTGCACAAAAGGCCAGGGACAGCACTCAGGCCCAGAGTTCAAGCCTCAGGACCAGTAACAATAACAACAACCACCAAAGCAAAATGCCAGGCTGATGGCATGGCTTAAACACTAGAGTACCACACTTGGGTGGAAAAAGCTAAGAGACAGTGACCCAGTCCTGAAGTTCAAGCCCTAGTACCAACACACACACACACACACACACACACACACACACACACATTGCCACCTGTCATCATTTTTAAGGGCTGTACTTTCAGGGGACCATTCTATGTCTAGCGTTGTGTAGGTTGCCTATAATCTATGGCTGTGCCCTGAACACCCCAATTCATGTGTTTGGCCCTTTCTACTCTGTTTCATCAACATACTTTCCTGAAGCCAGAGTAAGCTGTATTCCCTGGGGCCTATATTTGTGGACCACACTCCAGAGAAAACATTAAAAGGCGGGAGTGGCCTCACTGACTCTCACGACTGCTGTACTCATTGCTCTCTCTCTTTTTTTTCTTCTTTAGTTGAGCCTTCTCTACACCTGCAGACCATCTCCCAGGCAGTTCCGAGCATCTAACTCGAATTTCTTCTTCCTGTTGGTGTTGCTGATTGGCCTGTGTTTGGCTGTCATACCTCTGACCATCAGCATGTCCCGGTAAGTGGACTCCATCAGTTAGGCTTGGCTTGACTTGTCAATCCACCTGCAGACACCACCTTGGCTCCATCTTGGCTTCAAGGTCATGTGCGAGTTGGAGCTTTGTGGTTCTTCCTGGACTATGGAATTGGAGATGGCTGTCATTGTTTGTGAGCGACAATGGCTCTTTCCCATCCCATGCTCTTTTCTGAGGACTTCTTGTTTAGTCTTTTGGGTCCCCCCCTTTGTTTCTGATTATCAACACAGTACATGGTCATTGTAAAAGAGTTAGAAGTCTGACAGAAAGCAGAAAGACATATGAAATTGCCCTGTTCCTTCCAACTGAGTTAAGGGGTGGTCTTACATTTAGAAGATACCAAGTGTCGAGTGTGTTAGCGCATGCCTGTCATCCCAGCTGCTCAGGAGGTAGAAATGGGACCCTAGGCCTGTGCGGCATGCCTCAGTCTGAGCCCCTGGGTCTGTCCTTGCAGCATCCCTTCCTCGAAAGCCTGTGGGCCGTTCACCAACTTCAATACCACCTGGGATGTCATCCCCAAGATGGTGAGCACCTTCCCCAGCTCGCTGCAGTCCCTGGTCCGGGCCATCACGTCGGAAGCCTTCGCGGTGCCCTTCTTCATGATCATCTGGTCCGTGAGAACCTCCCGGTGGTGTACACACGCGTGCAATGGTGGCTCTGTCTGGGAAACAGCGTGTTACTCAGCCTTCCCCCACTGAGACAAAAATACCAGAGAGAATCAACTTGGAAGGGGGAGCCATTTATTTTGGTTTCCATCTGTGGTCGTTTGGCTCTATTGCTTTGGGATCATGGCAACACTGTACAAGGAGTATATAGAAGCCAGAAGCATCGAGAGAGAAACAGGAAATGCCCAGGGTCCTGATATCCCCTTCAAGGCCACGCCCCCAACAACCTCTCCTCCCCGCAGATCCAACCACCTAAATTAGCTCCACCACCTCCCAGTACCGCCACAGGCTGGTCACCAAGGCTTCATCAAAGGCCTTGGGCATTCCAGATTCCTGCTGTACTTGACAAGCTCCTGAACTTATCCCAGCCTCAGTTTCCCTTCTGTAGAATGACCATAATAACACTCCCTGTGTTGGAGAGCAGAAAGATAATCCCCTATAAAGCACCTAGCCCCAGGCCTGGCTCATAAATCCCAACAAATGCTGCCTGTTGTTAATATTGCCGCCAATGGTTCCTTCTAATAGCTTGTTCTTTGAAGAAAGGGAGATTTGTGGTGTCGAGAACAGTGATCCGACAGTACCAGGCAGGTTGTTGATATCAGTGAAATAACTTGGGGTGGAAGGGGAGTGAGGGTCTTGTCACTAGCCTGGCTAGAATGTCCAAGACCTGCTGCTCCTGGTCTGTCCACCAGCTGTGTTTGGCTGGTGCCACCTAGTGGTGACTTTCTTACCTTATTTCAGTGTCAGATCTCCTGGCTGCTTGACTGTGGCTTTATCCATCCTTCCTGGGGGACACTGGAGAGGACACTGCCCTTCCCCTCCCTCGATTATTCACCGCTAGTGTCTGTCCTTTCCTGGGGCCTGCCGTCTGGTCACCCCAAAGGTACCTTCAACCACCCCTACTTGGAGTGCACAAAAGTCAGGAAATAATCGTTGATCACTTTCAAATCAAAATTGAATTAACCTGCCAGGTGCTGGTGGCTCATGTCTGTAATCCTAGTACTCAATAGGCTGAGATCTGAGGATGGAGTTTAGAAGCCAGCCCAGGCAGGCAAATCATCCGTACGATTCTTTATCTCCAATTAAACAGCAAAATGCCAGACCAGAGGATGTAGCTCAACTGCTTTAGTGCCAGCTGTGAGCTAGAGTGTGAGGCTGAGTTCTAAGCCCCAATACCAACACACACAAATTCAAAAACATAAAACAGTGCACAAATCAGTCTCATCTGCTGTGGCCAAATAAAACCACACAAGCCATTTGCTTGTTGGCTTGCCTTTTTTTTTTTTTTTTAGTATTGGGGTTTGGGGGTTGAATGCAGGGCCTTCTGTTTGTCCACTTGAGCCACACTCCAGGCGGTTCTTAAGTTTATTTCTCTCATAATGTCATGTTTTGTTTTTTTTTTGTCCAGCTGGCTCCCTGCTCTATGCTTCTCCTATTACAGCCATGCACCACCACACCTAGTTTGTTTTTTGAAATAGGGTCTTGCTCTTTTGCCTAGTCTGGCCTCTGGACCTAGATTCTCCTACCTCTGCCTCCCAAGTAGCTGGGATCATAGATGGGAGCCATAGTGTTTGACTTTTGCATTTCTTTTTCTCTAACAACAAAAAACCCTGTTCCAGACAAAATGTGTTGGGCTGCTTTTTCTAGTGGCAGGCGATGACCCCCAGCCCCCTGGTGACCCATCCGTCCATCTTGTCTTGCAGTCTCATTATGTTCTACTTCATCGCCTTGGCTGGAGCACACAAGCGGGTGGTGGACCAGCTCCGGGAGCAACTGTCCCTGGTAAGGAAGCCCGGGCTGGTAGATCTCAGACACCACAAAGCCCTGCTGTTTGCAGGAGGGGTGCGGTCATCCTCACTTCACTACTTCCTTTCCCGACCCCACTGAGGTCCTCCCACTCATCTCCACCCCTTATTGCTTATCCATTCACCCATCCCTCCAGGCCCCGCCCACTCGATCCAGGCCCCGCCCCTCCATCTTCACTCCAGGCCTCGCCCCCCTCTTCACACCTCCAGGTCACGCCCTCTTCTGCTGCATAACTTTCTGCTCACTCATATCTTTTATAGAGATAGGCCAAGGACTTAAAGGGGTTAAAGACACAAGATCAGAGCCAGGTGCTGGTGGCTCACCCCTATAATACTGCTTACTCAGGAGACAGATCTGAGAAGCAAGGTTCGATGCCAGCCCCAGCAGGAAAGTCCGTGCAACTCCTCTATCTCCAATGAAAGACCAGAAAACTGGAAATGGAGCTGTGGCTCAAAGTGGTAGAGCGCTAGCCTTGAATGGAGACAATGAATTTGGAGACAATGCCCAGGCCCTGAGTTCAAGCCCCATGACCGACAAAAAATAAGAAAAGCAATAAGATCAGTTCTCATAGCTGTAATGGCTGCCAAGAAGGTAGTCAGTGGAGGGGTGAGGCTGGAGCAGGTATGATGGCTCCTAATTAGGAGGGGAGAGAGGCAAAGACTAGAGCAGGCCGTGAGCTGGGCATTTCTAGGGCGGGGGTGGGGGCTGTGTGGCTGGAGCCAAGAAATCATGGGGCAAGGCCAGATGACATCAGCGTACCCTGGGGGGACCTGGTAAGAAACTAGGGTTTTATGTTGTGTGGGATGGGAAGCTAGACCTCTGTTCTTCTCTTCACTCTCCTCTTTTCCATTCTCCCTCCTTCCTTCCCTACTGGCGTTTTGAACTCAGGGCCTTAGGCTTGTTAGGCAGGTGCTCTACCATTTGAATCACACCCTCATCCCTTTTTGATACAGTTATTTTTCAGAGAAGGTCTTACACTTTTTTGGTCCAGAATCCTTTTGTTTCTGCTTCCCAAGTAGCTGGGATTACAGAAATGAGTCACCACACAGGGCCTGTCAGGTACCTTTGAGTAGCTGTGGTGGACAAAGAGACTGAAGAAGGGGCTATACATGGAAGAGACAAAACCAAACCAGAGGTCGTTGCATTAACTTGGTGAATGGAATCTTCCCTCCGAGTCTCAGATTAATTTGTTGGGAGAAATGATGGTATGTGTTCTCAAGTATAGAAACACACTGTCCAACTCCTTCTTCTTCTTCTTCTTTTTTTTTTTTAAGGAAGGTCGTGACAAACGCTATCTGATCCAGAAACTAACAGAAGCTCAAAGGGACATGAGAAGCCAGCCGCTCTGACCGTGAAGCCATTTCTGTGTCCCTTTTCAGCTGGGCCAGGGACTTTGTTGGACCTACCAAGTCCCCTGGGCTCTTCTTAATGGAAGCTAGCCATGGATGGGCTACCCAGTGCCTTGTTTAGTAATCTGACAACTTAGAAAGGCAGCTTGAAACCCAGGTCTTTACTTGGAGACCAGCTCAGCGACAGCTCTACCCAAAACCTCCTCCAGTTGTTCTAGTGTTTAGAACAAATCGAGGTGGAGAGGATTTTATTTATGTTGGTTATTTTTAGGCTTTTATATATATATGTGTGTATATATATTTTTTTACAAGTTTCTGTTGTCTTTCAGAGCTAACCACAGGCCACCTGCTACTGAAACTGGCTGATTCCTTTTTGAACGCATTTCTAGGAGTTTAGGCTGAGGGACCCTCATGGATGGTTCTGAAATGGAACTTATAAATTTTAATTGTCTTTAATGAAGAGAAATCTCTGCATCACGACATTTGGAGCCAGGTGGTAAAGAATATGGAATGTCAGCCCCATGGGGAAGGAAGGGAGGACAGTCGCTCCTCAGGATCCACCCAGCGATCCTGCCCTGCCTGTCCTCAGTGAATCCCTGGGGATTGCCAAGTTGGCAGCCATGATTGCTTCTCTGTCTAGGCCTATTCTCCAGGGATTGCTGCCTTCAGCTGACAGATTGCCTGTGGCCTTCTGTTTCCCACCTCATCTAGCTCCATTTTTGAAGGACAGCTGATATGTCTGAACCAGGCTGGGAGAGGGCTTTTTCGTATCAGAGCTGTGGATAAGACTTTGGGTTTATTTCCATGCCTCAGTGTTTTGGGGAGTGGATGACAGCTCCATCTACTCATGAGACCGGCCCATGATGCCGGACTACATAGGAGGCTGGCTTCCTAGATCCACAGTTGAAAGGGCGGTTGTTTTTGTTTCTCTGTGTGAACATTTTTAATGCACATGCCTTTATTTTACCAATGATTAAAGCAGACTATTATCTCAAGATATCCGTTACAGTAGAAACCTTATATAATAAATACCTCATTGTAAATGTACCCCAAATAGATTGTTCTGAACCTTTAAATAGAAGCCTGAGTTGCTGTTTAATCTGCTTTGATTTTAATATTTTTAAATCTACATACTATAGTTTTGTGATGAATCATTTGTGTTTCTTCCATTCTGTAGCTCCAAACTTTGCATGGAATTTAGGGTTGTGTGTAATTTTCTTTTTCTTTTTGCCAGTCCTGGGGCTTGAACTCAGGGCCTGGGCACTGTCCCTGAGCTTCTTTTGCTCAAGAATAGCACTCTACCACTTGAGTCACAGTGCCACTTCCAGTCTTTTCTGTGTATGTGGTACTGAGGATCAAACCCAGGGCTTCATGCATGCTAGGCAAGCACTCTACCACTGAGCCACATTCCCAGCCCCTGTATGTAGTTTTCTAAACCATAATACCATTTTGTAAGCATAATTCAGACCTCCCACCACCACTGCCTCAATAGCTACTTGTCCAGAGGAACAAAAAAGCTTGTTGTAGTTCATACATTTCTGTATATCTGATCCTTTTTCTTACGTGTGTGTTTGTGCTAGACATAGACTCGGGGTTCCTGGTGTAGATGTGCTGTACCGTTGAGCTACTCCTCAACTTCAGGGCAGTATTAACATGAGTTATTTTTACCTGTGAGACCAATGGACTTTTTAGCCTTTCCTGTCTTGTTGAGGTCTCTTTATCTGATTGGTATGGAATTTTGTCACCAAAGTCCATCCTTACTTTATTTGCCAGTCCTGGTGCTTGAACTCAGGGCCTGGGCACTGTCCCTGAGCTTTTGCTCGAGGCTAGCACTCATCACTAGAGCCACAGTGCCACTTCCAGCTTTTTCTGTTTATGTGGTGCTGAGGAACTGAACCCAGGGCTTCATACATGCTAGGCAAGCACTCTACCACTAAGCCACATTCCCAGCCAGGTCCTTACTTTAAAAACAAATTCTAATTGTTGGCTTTTTTTTTGCCACGTGTGTGTGCATGCGTGCACGCACGCACACACTATGCATAAAAAGTGAATATGTGTGGCTGTTTTTTCTGGTGTAAATCTGATAAATATGCTAATCGGAGTATGAGTTTTAGTTAACTGCTGCTAATTTGTATACCTCTTACTCAAATGTTTTTGTATGTTTTTGACAACCTTAAAAACATCAGGTGAAACCTGTATAATTTTTAACATGCAGCTCTCAAACAAGTGTGCATTAAACTACTGATGGATTAAAGTGTCTTGAAGGTTGTAAAATGTGATTTGTGTATACTTGAACTCACATTCTTATATGCTGTGGCCTTAGAAAACTATAAGTGTGTTGAATTGTTCTTTGCCTTTTTCTATTAGAGATGGAGATGGAAGAAGTGTTCGATTCAGTCATCAGATGAATGCTTTTGTTAGCAATTGGTTACCTGGGACCTTTTTGCTCTACTCCACTGGGTCCCAGCTGGGGAGGGGAGAGACCCTATTGCACCAGGCTTTAGAAGGCAGAGACATAGCTCTAGTCTCCCAGGTTCTCCCTCTTGGCTTCAGACACCAGCAGTGTATTTGGTAGCTATTGTAGTCCTCAGCTTCCAGCAGCAGCAGTCAGTTTTCATAATGGGATCCTCAGGCCTATAGCATTGGGATCCTTTGCCCTGACACAATTCAGGCCTAGGTGTCAGAAACCCTTGGAACTTAAGGTCAAGTTCCAGATCTCTGGAACTCATTAATGACCTGGATCCAGTTTCTTATTTTCACTCTTCATAGCCCTCATGATCTCCATCATCACCTCTGCTCTCTTGTCATTTCTGCCACAGCCATTTCTTGTCAATACTGCCACTGTCTCTACTGCTGCCCCCATTGCCAGCAGTCCACCTCACTTTCTGCCATCCCTTCTTCCTGTTACCGGGTCAGCCTGCTGTACTGATGATAAAAGATCAAAAGCAGGCATTTATAAAGGCCACTTGAGAAAAATGTAAGTGGGCCTAATGTTGCAACACCAGGGAATAACCCAGGAGGTTGTAACCGGTTCCTCACAAGGTGAGCTGAACAGCCTGTTTAGCCAGAAAGGGAGTATGTAAAGGTGTTCTTTTTTCTTTTTTTATTGGGTCCGGTCGTGGGGCCTGAACTCTGGGCCTGGGCGCTGTCCCTCAGCTCTTGAGCTCAAGGCTAGCGCTCTACCACTTGAGCCACAGCGCCACTTCCGGCTTTTTTTCTTTTTGCTTATGTGGTACTGAGGAATCGAACCCAGGGCCTCGGGCATGCAAGGCAAGCACTCTACCACAGAGCCACCCTAAAGGTGTTTACATCGATCACAACACACTCCCTCTTGATAATGAAGGGCTGTTTGCACCACGCAATGAATGGCCTTCTGCTGGGCCACAGAGTGAAGTGCTGCTATATTGCTAGTGGAGATGCCAGCATTTCACTTAGATTCACCAACGTTTGTGATGTAAAAATAGTCAAGGCTGTATGTAGTCCATGAGACTCCCATCTCCGAAATCACCCGCAAAGGTGTGGGCTGGCCGAGTGGCTCCCGTGGGCTGTGCCAACCCAGCAAGCAGGCGGCGTTCAGTTAAACTCCAGTGGTGAAGGAAAATGAAAAAGAGACATCAGGAGCGCTCGCTCACGGTCCCGCCTCCCAGGACTTAGGTAAACAGATGTCTGTCGGGCAATCTCTGCACCTGCACCTTGGCATTCTCATCTCCATGGCAACCTCCACCCCAGGCTCATGAATGAGTGATAGATTTTCCAGCCAACAGGCCGTAACCATTCGTAATTTTCTACCAATAGAATGGAAGTACGGCCTAAGGGGCGTTCCCACGGGTACCGGGGCACGTAGCGCCTTACGTGTGCTTGCGTCATCATCCTGCGCCAAGGGCACGATTGGCCCGCGGCGCTCATCAGTGGCGGCTCTTATTCCGGCAATGAGTTGGTGCGGGGTGGCGGGGGCCGCCCCCGTGTGGCGGCTGCGCGCAGGCGCCTTGTGGAGCCCCTCAGGTAAAAGTGGGCGCGCGGTGGTTGGCAAACCGGGTGATTTTCATTAGAAGCTCAGATCAGGGAGAGGTCGCGGGGGGGCAGGGGAAGATGGCCTGCGTCACTGTCCTGCGACGGAGCTCAACTGATAACCGTTAGCAGCCGGGGCTGTCGCAGTGGAGCGCGATGTCATTGGCTGTTCTGCCGTGACGTCACTGCAGACGTGCTGGGGGCCTGGCTGAAGTCCTAACAGCGCGCGGGGCCCGGTGCTCGGCAGGCCCCGCCTCCCGGGGACTCGTGGCCCCGCCCCTCGATGCCTGGCCCCCGGGTGTATCTGGTGAAGACCTTAAGGCCTTTCATAAGCTGTCCAGGCCTCGGGCTGGAGGGAAGCGTCGGGTTTCGCAAGGAGGGACGTTGGGCTGGATGCTGGTTATTACTATTATTTCTTTTTGTTTGTGCCGATCCGTGGGGCTTGAACTCAGGCCTCAGGCTCTGCCCCTGAGCTTTTTTTTTTTTTGCTCAAGGCTGGCGTTCTACACTTGAGCCACAGCTCACTTCTGTCCTTTTCTTTTTGTGTGTGTGGGGGTGTAGTTTATTGGAGATAAAGAACCTCATGGACTTTCCTGTCCGACTTGGCTTTGAACCCTGATCCTTAGATCTCAGCCTCCTGAGCCAACAGCACTTGCCTTTTTTTTTTTTTGTATGTATGCCACTTCAAGGGTTTGAACTCAGGGCTTTGCGCTTTCCCTTGATTATGGATTGCTTACAATTGGTGCACTACCAATTGAGCTACCCCTCCAGTTTGGCAAACCTGGTTAATGGGGCATGGAATCTTGCAGACTTTTCTTACTCAGGCTAGCAATGAATAGCAATCCTCAGATCTCAGCCTCACGAATAGCTATGATTGCAAGTATGAGACACTGTCTCCTGCCTTTCTTGCAGTCCACTCTTCCTTCCTTCCTTCCTTCCTTCCTTCCTTCCTTCCTTCCTTCCTTCCTTCCTTCCTTCCTCCCTCTGTCTCTGTCTCTCTCTCTCTCTCTCACTCGCTCTTTCTTTCTTTCGTATAATTGTACCAATTTTAAGATGAAACAATTTCATGGAAAGTAAGGCTTGGGTTAAGCAGAAAAGAAATGTTTATTGCCCCCAAGTGCATGATAACCATGAAAAATCAAGTTCTGACATTGTTAGAAATACTGTTGCCTGCCTAAGTTTAAGCTCACAACGATTTCCCTTTCTGTGAAAAGGAAAGAAGGGAGAGAGGAAGGAAGGAAAACAGAGATGAACAGTGTTTAAAAAGGGAAAAGTTTAGGCCAGGTACCCAAGGCTCACACTTGTAATCCTAGCTATGCAAAGGGCTGAGAGCTGAGGATCATGGTTCAAAGTAAACCCAGGCAGAAAAGTGCACGCAACTCTTATCTCCAATAAACTATTCAGAAAAAGCTGGAAGTGGTGCTCAAATGGTAGAGCATTAGCCTTGAGCAAAGCTCAGGACAGTGCCGGGGCTGAGTTTAAGTTCCAAGACTGGCAACAAACAAACAAACAAACAAAAAAATCCACAAAAAAAGTTTAGGATATAGTAGCTATAAATAGACACATTTTTTCTTGATGAAAATAATGGATTAAACCAGGCATCTGTGGTTCATGCCTGTAATCCTGGCACCTCAGGAGGCTGGGATCTGAGGATCTCAGTTTGGTGCCAACCCAGGAAGGAAAGTCCGTGAGACTCTTACCTCCAATTAACCACCAGAAAACTGGAGGTGGAGCTGTGGCTCAAAGTGGTAGAGCACTAGCCTTGAGCAAAAAAGCACAGAGACAGCATCCAGGCGCTGACTTCAAGCCCCATGACCAACCAAAAAAGAAAAGAATGGATTAGAGAGTAATGTAGGCTGGGTTTTGGTGGCTCACACCTGTAATCCTAGCCACTCTGGAGGTTGAGATTTGGAAGATGATCAAAACCAGCCCAGGCAGGTGTGTATGTGTATTTTTTCTTGAACAAGTCTGCAGAGGAGGGGATCCTAAACTAGGTCAGTGCTCCTTTAGTGAAATTGTGGATGTCTAGTGGCTATGAGTATGGCTCAGTGCTAGCGCACTTTCCCGGCATGCAGGAGGCTCTGGGTTCCATCTGCTGCACCTAAATAAAGAGGGTCTGTAAAACTCCATATTGTAGAAAAGCATACAATTTCAGCAAAAGCTTACCACTTGAGCTTATATGCAAAGCTTTTTTTTTTTTTGGCCAGTCCTGGGGCTTGAACTCAGGGCCTGGCCGCTGTCCCTGAGCTTCTTTTGCTCAAAGTTAGCACTCTACCACTTGAGCAACAGTGATACTTCTGGCCTTTTCTGTTTTATGTGGTACTGAGGAATGGAACCCAGGGCTTCATGCATGCTAGGCAAGCACTCTACCACTAGCTACCTTCCCAGCTCCTGGTTTTTTTAAGTGAAAGAACCATAGATATAGCAAAATGACTTCTCTCCACACTTGAAGTTAGCCTAAGTAAAAAGTAGCATTCCAATGGACATAGTTGTCATGGCATGAGAGCCCTAAGGCACATCTCAGGTGACACTCCGAGGTCAAAGTTGACATTACAGTCATCCCTTGCTGTATTGTGGTTCACTTATTGTGGCTTCATTGTTTTGCAGACTTTTTTTTTCTTTTAGTACATAGTGATTCCTCACCTATTGCCAGAGTTAACGTTTCAGAGATCCCTGCAGTAGGTGAAAATCCTCGAAGTAACATTATGTGAGTCATGATATAGCTAGGGATGACTATCTAATGCTGCTGCTTCATAGATTTTCACCTATTGCAGGATCTCTGGAACATAACTCCTGCAATAGGTGAGGGATCACTGAACCAACTGAAGGACCTGTCTCCATCAAAATGAGATGAACATGTTTCATTCTAAAGCCCTTCTCTTGTAGGGAAAAAAACAAAAACAAAACTTTTGAGATTCCTTAATGTAGGGCACAGGCAATATAAGGTATAACTGTCCAATCTTTTATTTTTTTATTTTTTTTTATTTTTTTGTCAGTTGTGGGGCCTGAACTCTGGGCCTGGGCGCTGTCCCTCAGCTCTTCAGCTCAAGGCTAGCGCTCAACCACTTGAGCCACAGCTCCACTACTGGCTTTTTCTGCTTATGTGGTGCTGAGGAATTGAACCCAGGGCCTCATGCATGCAAGGCAAGCACTCTACCACTGAGCCACCTTCTCAGCCCCATCCAATCTTTTAATAAGATTAAATCTAATCTGTACTGAGCTCACATTTTGGAGACCAGAGGAGTTTGGGACTGTGACAATATAAAACCTAAACTCTGAGGCTAGACTTTCAAAATCAAATGTCTCATGGGTTCAAGTGGGTTTTTGTTGTTGTTGTTTTGTACAGTGCTGGGGCTTGAACTCAGGGTTTGGGCACTGTCCCTGAGCTATTTTGCTTAAGGCTAGTGCTCTATCGCTTGAGCCACAGTGGCACTTCTGTTTTTTTCTGAGTAGTTTCTTGGAGATGTGAGTCTTATGGATTCTCCTGCTTGGGCTGGCTTTGATTCACCTTCCTCAGATCTCAGCTTCCTGAGGCAAGAGCCACCAGTGCCCAGCTGGGTTTAAGTATTTTAAAAAGGTGGAAGTGTATGGTTCTCAGCCTTGGCTGTAGAAATTTGTACTAAGGCCTTTGCACAATATCATCATGGGCCAGTGGCCTTCAGATAGACTGGGGGCAAGAGACGGGGAGCATTGTTGTGTTGAAAGTTCTCTGGGACATGGCATGGATTTGGGTGGAAGGTGGGTGAACTGGAGAGCATGCTCTTATAGAAGCTGCTGTCATGTTAACTGCCCTTCCAAGTTTTGATAGCTGTAAAAGCACAGCGGGGGACAGGACCTTTAGCTGGAGTTTTCAATGTTTTAGCACCACAGATTATAGAGAATATTCATGAGCCTGTGGCTCTTGGAGCTCATTTGTAACCTTTGTTCCTAAGCCCCTTTTCTGTCTGTGAGAAGAAACATGGATTTTACCTCAGAGTAATGACTGACACTGTTTTGCATCCTCTGGACAAGGAGGCAGTGTTCGATTTTGCAGCTCAGGAACGACCTTAGGCAGTGCCAGTCGAGCAATTGTGGATCGAGTAATCCGGGTAGACCACGCCGGTGAATACGGAGCAAATCGGATCTACGCGGGGCAGATGGCCGTGCTGGGCCGCACCAGTGTGGGGCCGATCATTCAGGTGGGCACATGATTATCTCTCAGCCTGGTCTCCTGCCCTGGTAACTACATCCCCTCATGATTCCCTAGAGACAAGCAAAGATGGTTGTTTTGGGGGGAGGAAAGCATCTTGTTCTTTTTATGGGCAGCATATTGTTCCTTTATGGACAAAGCTCCAGTAGAGTACAGTGAGGAGAAGACACACAGTGGTCTCTGCTGTTAGCATTTTCTTATCAGAGCTGGCAGTGAAGGAGGATACTCTGCAGCCTACCTCATCAGGAGAAAGCACCGTGTCCAAAAGAGGCACGGGAGTCCTGCTTCACCAAGCACCCTGACAGGGCCTGTGCTGTCCAGGTCTCTTCTCCCTTCTACTGGTGGAGCCTGGAGGAAGTCACACAACCCGTGTGGCTCTCACTGCCCTGTGAGCAGAGTCCACGTCAATGTGGGAGGAGTTGGTGCATTCCTATAGAGCCGCTGGTACCGTGCCATCCCTCCAGTCCATCCGTGCTACATTGTGAATTGAAGTCATCTCTAGATTACTGATGGCGCCCTGTACTGTGCTATGTGAAGTGCCTTCAGAGCTGCTGAGCCTCCAGTCAGGAAGCGCACCATCACTGAGGGGATAATAGCAGTTTGTGGGATGGAGGGTGGAAAGTCCCTGGACAGCACTGGTGTTTAGGTCAGGCCAGCGGAGTACCTGCTGCTGGCCCAGCCTTCCACCTTTGATGTCAGGATGGATGTTGAAGCGGCTGGCTCTGCCCTCAGCTTTGGGCCATATCACCCCCAGGCACATGCTGGTCCCAGCACTACTGCAGACCGCTTGCCGACACTCTTCTCCATGTGGGAGGGAGACTTCTTAGCTGGCATTTTGCTTTCCACATTGGTGCACCAGGCTCACTACCATTTTCTCACTGCCCAGTTCAGTGGCTCCGAGCTTCCTCCGGGGCAATAGGAGGCCTCCACCCAGGCGCCTGTCTTTTTGTGTCTCTTGCAGAAAATGTGGGATCAGGAAAAGGAGCACTTGCGCAAGTTCAGTGAGCTGATGGTTGCCTCCAGAGTCCGGCCGACGGTGCTGATGCCGCTGTGGACAGTGGCAGGCTTTGCCCTGGGTATGTCTGTGTGTGTGCACGAGCTCAGGCTGTGGAGCCCTTCAGAGACCCTCATCCACTGTCCTCTCGTGGCCGTACACAGCTGCTTATCTTTACTTGGTACTTTCCTAAAGTGAAATAGAACTTAATTGAATTTCCCTCTTTGTTTAACTTTCTGTAAGATGGAATCAGTGCTTTTTATAAATAGAAAGTACAACAAGACCTAATGGAACAGGGAACAAGCTAAAAAACAGCTCCTGGAGCTGGGCATGGTGGCACACGACTGCAATTCCAGTCCAGGGGAGGCTGAGACTCAGGAGGATTGTGTGTTCTGAGGCAGCCTGAGCTTCATAGGCAGACCCTGAATCACAAAAGTACCTTGAACGAGAAGAGCATTCTCACCATGCACTTCAAGGTTTATCTGGGATGTGGTGCCTACCCCTAGCTGTGAGGCCATAGCTGAAGACATTTCCTGTAGTCACAGCTTAGCAGGATGATGTGAAATATGCTGTGATGGAGAGCAGAGGCCCCTGAAGCCCATTCACCCCAGGTGCCAGGGTGCTGGGCCCTCATGGTCTCTCTCTCTCTCTCTCTGGATGACCCCCCACAGGGGCTGGGACAGCCTTGCTGGGGAAGGAGGGCGCCATGGCCTGCACGGTGGCTGTGGAAGAATCAATAGCACGTCACTACAACAACCAAATCCGGACTCTGATGGAGGACGACCCTGAAAAGCACGAGGAGCTGCTTCAGGTCAGGGGCTGCAGCAGATGGGGCTGTGCCAGGGGAAGAGGGAAGAGTTGTCTTCCTCCAGGCAGAGAGGAGAAGTGGGCTGCCCCGGTCACTGCTGGGCAGAGTGGGACCAGAACCCACATCTACAGAGCTCTGGCCTGCCTGTGTGCACCCATCTACCTACTGTTGATTGGCAGCTTTGACTGTGTAGACACGTGCCCGTCCTCGTCCAGCAGAGGGCAGTACACTCTTCCAGTTCTGTGATGTTGCTTTATGTGATGGGGTTGTGCTGTGCAGCTCAGGCTGTTTCAAGCAGTTTCCCCCTGCCTCAGCGTCCCCAGTAGCTGGGTCTACAGACATATACCACTATGCTTGGCTCTCCAGGCTGTGCCTGATCTCTGGTTCTGTACCTGAAGTTTTCGGGGCCACAGCCACAGCTATGTTTACATATCCTGGGCTGCTGTCCCGCTCCCTGGGCAGAGTGCAGTCCTGTGTCCTGCATGACAGAGACAGCACAGCCCGAGAGGAGGCCGCACACAGCCTCAGCCTGAGAGCTTTACTTTCCTTTAACAGGTGATTAAGAAGTTTCGAGATGAGGAACTAGAACACCATGACATTGGCCTCGACCATGATGCAGAACTGGTAGGGCTCTGCTGCTGCTCATGCTGATTGGGGTACCTTATCTGGAAGTCTGGGGGAGCTGGGAGTTTCTGTTCCAGAAAAATACATGTTAAAATAAGGCCAGACGGCAGGCAGGCAGTCACTGTGGGGAAAGCAAACAGGCACAGCTGTCCCACCCGGCCTTGTTCCCAGGCTCTCCCCAGGAGCTGTCGCCCCTGCCCAAGACGCTCTGGAGGGCAGATCTCACCTGCCTTATTACCAGAAATGAACAAATGCCGCACTAGTGCTTTCTTGTGTGTGCCGGGCGGGCTCCCTGGCAGAGCCTCAGCCCGGCCTCCTGTGTGTTTACCAGGCCCCGGCGTACGCCGTGTTGAAGAGCCTCATCCAGGCCGGGTGCAGCGCGGCCATCTACTTATCAGAAAGATTCTGAACTTTGTTCCCTCTCATGTCTGCAATCCTGGTGACTCACAAAGAAGGAAGTAGATACTTAGCATCGTGTTAATTTTGTTAATAAATTGTAAGAGTATTTTTTTTCATTAAAACTCCAGTGTGGGGCTAACATAACTTGAACAAGAGTGTATTAACAAGGTAAGTTCGGCTCCTTTGACTCCACATCTTTTGTCCATTGAAACCTATAGCTCATGCCTGTGCCTAGAAGAGAGCTGAGGATGTACCTGAGGGACGGTCCAGGGGTTTCCCAGGCACTTGAGGTCCACACTGGAAGACATTTTGAGGGGGTCTCAGGGAGGCCCACAGGTGGAGGTTTAGTAAACCAGGATGAAGAGGGTTAAAAGGGCCAAAGAAGACTCAGCACATGGCCTTGTGGGTAGGAGGATTTCCTGACTTCCTGTGTCTACACCTGTTCCATCACGGGCAGCCTGAAATGGCAGTGCCAAATTACAAGCCCTGACTGAGGTAATAACAAGAGGTAGGCTCACCAAAAACATGGGGACAGTAGGTATGGCCTCTCTGTACCCAGAAATGGTCCTTCATTTCTGTCTCTACATGGAAAAGGAGGAGGGAGGGTGATGGGTGGGCCTCTTCACTAGCATTATTTTTTTTTTGGGGTCCGGTCGTGGGCCTGAACTCTGGGCCTGAGCGCTGTCCCTCAGCTCTTCAGCTCAAGGCTAGCGCTCTACCACTTGAGCCACAGTGCCACTTCTGGCTTTTTTCTTTTTGCTTATGTGGTGCTGAGGAATCGAACCCAGGGCCTCATGCATGCAAGGCAAGCGCTCTACCACTGAGCCACCTTCCCAGCCCCGCATTTTTTAAATTTTTAATTGTTTCTTATTGTTATTATAAAGGTGATGTACAGAGGGTTTACAGTCACATAAGTCAGGTAAAGAGTACATTTCTTTTTGGACAGTGTCACCTCAATTTTCTAAATTTTTAATTGTTATTATAAAGTATTTGTATAAAGGAGTCATAATTCCATAAGTCATGTTAGGACTACCATGCTTCTTGGTCAGAGTCACCCCTCTCTTCATCTTCACCCATTCCCCCCATTCCTACCCTCAAGTTCATTTGTTACACAGTGCCTATTTAATATAAGGACTGCATTTGCTTCCTGATTCTTCCATTCTACGTCCCGATTTCAATTCCTGAGCCTGCTCTTTGTAGTCCATCATGCAGGAGGGCCCATTGGAAGAGACCAGCAGTGCTAAAAGGCGACAAGCGCCATCCCTGCAGGCTGCTGGTTGGTAACAGCAACCCGCAGCCCCTTTCCTCGCATGGGGCTCCGCCATGGCAGCCCGCCACGCAGCACAGCGCATTTGTCCTTCTCGCTTCTGAGAGGGAAAGGTGCCTCTTGCCTGCTGGTTCCCCCCAGCAGATTCCGGGGCGATGGATGAACAGAGGCCCTTGCAGTGTTTATTAAATAAGTAATGTGCCAGTGCCACCATGGGGCTAAGAATGATTAAGGTGTCTCCCCAACCTCCACTTTCATAAGTTCAGATTGGCCTGAGGCTCTCCTAAGGGAAGGGCAAGGGGAGGTCAGCTGGATTTTGGGGACCACAGACACTGTGATTCTGCAACTTATGGGATGACCCCCTGTCCCCTTCCCCCCCTCCACTCCCTCACCCTGCCTCGGGCTGCTATGGCTGTTGCCTCTTGGCTTTGTGCATTTTGTGTGTGTGTGTTCTTTTTTGCCAGGCTTGAACTCTGGGCCTGGGCGCTGTCCCTGAACTATTCAGCTCAAGGTGAGCGCGCTACCATTTTGAGCCACAGCGCCACTTCCAGTTTTCTGGTGGTTCATTGGAGATAAGAGTCTCACGGGCTTTCCTGCCAGGGCTGGCTTTGAACTGTGATCCTCAGATCTCAACCTCCTGAGTAGCTAGGATTACAGGCATGAGCCACTGGGGCCTGGCTTTGTGCAGTTTTTAACCGCATCTTCCACCTGACCCAAGTCCCTGCAGTTGCAGCCAGGTCTGATCAATTCATCTCCACTTTCCAAATACCCACAACAAAACGTGTTTGGACTCATAGATGCCAGAAAATGACAATACAAGTCTCACGGACAGTCCTCCTGCTCTCAAGTGTCTGTCCTTCAGTCGTCCTGTCCAGCTGGAGCCCAGCAGAAGCCTGAGAGGCTTTAGCCCAGAATGCGCCTCCACCTTTCTTTCCCCAAGTGCTTTTATGGGTGATGCTGTGGTTTGAACTCGGGGTCTCGCACTGTCACTGAGCCACACTTCTTAACTGCTTGTTTACTTATAGTTGTTGTGTTTTGGTTTTTAAGGATTCCTTGATATCTTCATAATATTCTCCTTTAAAAAAAGAAAAAATGCTCCATGATCTAATTATAAGATGCTTAATCTTGGGTTTTTGAGTTTGTTTTGTCTTTCAAAAAAACACTTTTGCTGGCACTGGTGGCTCACACCTATAATCCTAGCTACTCAGGAGGCTGAGATCTGAGGATCACAGTTCAAAGCCAGCCCTGGCAGGAACATCCATGAGACTCCGGAAGTGACACTGTGGCTCACGTGGTAGAGTGCTAGCCTTGAGTGAAGAGCTCCGGGACAGCACCCAGGCCCAGAGTTCAAGCCCCACAACCAATAGAAGAAATAACAACAACAACAAAAAACATACTTTTACAGGCTCTTCACCTTATTGAAGAATCCCCCAGCATAAGCCTCCTGGATGGATTATGAGTCTGTGTGTCTGTGTCTGTGTACTGAGACTTGAACTCAGGGCCTCATGCTTTCACTAAGCTTACTTGCTGATAAATGATACTCTACTACTTGAGCCATACCTCCAGCCAAGCTTCTTGCTGATTAATTGGAGCTAAAGGTCTCGTGGACTTTCCTGCCTGGGCTGTCTTTGAACCTCGATCCTCACTCAGCCTCCTAAGCAGCTAGAATTACAGGTGTGAGCCACCAGCGCCTGGCAGCTTAACTATTTTTCAGATTGAGTTTGTGTTTTGCTTGGGTCTGACTTTGGACAGATTGTCATACCTATGCCTTCCACAGAGCTAAGAAACAGACCTGTAATATCATACCAGACTCATTTGTTGAGATAGGGTCTCATTAACTTTTTGCCTGGGCAGGCCTGACCTGCAATGTTACTGATCTCTACCTCCCATACAGCTGGGATTACAGGCATGTACCACCATGCCCAGGTCATCTTATTTTTTGATATATTCTCAAATCCATTGCTGAGGTCAGTATACTTCACCTCTAAACAATCCAGCTACACATCACTGACTAGAATCCAATTTGTGTTTATGGGTTTTGTGAGGTGGATAAATGCACAAACCTGAAGCAGTGTTCTGTGAGTTTTGATGAATGTGTGATCCAAATTCTTATGTCAGGATAGCAGGCAGAATGCAATTTTCTTTTTCTAAGTGCTGGCTTTGAAATGTCCTTGCCCTGAAAGATAAGACTCCACTGCAAATTAAGCTTTATGAAAAATTGTCTTCATATATTTTATTATGCTCTCTTTGCCCCAGATGGAAAAAAAAAAAAACAACAAACAGGGGCCCAGGATTTTGGAAACAGCTAACTTGAAGCAGTGTGCATGCACAAGCACGTGTATGTGTGTATATGTGTGGTGGGTGGGGAGGGTAGTTGACACTTCAGGCTTGGAAGGCATGGGTTCGAATCCTAGCCCTGCTACGTTCCAGCTATATGACCCTGGGCAATGAACATAACCTGCCTGTGCCTCAGTTTCCCTGTCATTAAAATAGGGATACAGACAGAAACTACCTCTAAGATGGCCTGTGGCCTAGGGTACACTGAAGATGATGGGGTGCTACCCGATGGGTGTAAGGGCTCCCAGCTGACATGCACTTGGGCAGCTACGGTAAAAGTTGACAGCTTGGGCTGGGAAGGTGGCTCAGTGGTAGAGTGCTTGCCTTGCATGCATGAGGTCCTGGGTTCCGATTCTTCAGTGCCACATAAGCAGAAAAAAACAGAAGTGGTTCTGTGGCTGAAGTGGTAGAGTGCTCACCTTGAGCTGAAGAGCTGAGGGACAGCGCCCAGACCCAAAGTTCAGGCCCCACAACCGACAAAGAAAAGCTGATGGCAGGTGGTACAGTGCTTGCCTAGCATGCATAAGGCCCTGGATTCAACTCCCTGGTACTTCATAAACAGAAAATAAAAAGAAAAAATTTAAGCTGATTGTTTCTGTCTTCTGTTTCTTCTTCATAATAACAAAACTCAGTTTCAGCAGGACACACGAAATCTTGGATCATCCTATTTCCTCTTCATTGTTACTGTGGCCACGGAGAAGCAGGTATGGTACTGGACACGTTTTCTGATGGCTGTTACAGTGCCTGGAAGGGTTGCCTGGAATCACAGCATCTATTTTGTCACCAGGAGGAGAGCAAATCTGTAGATGGCAGAGGAGAAAGACGAAGGGAATGGGGTATTGTGATTGAGCCACTGAGTTAGGCAAGCAAGCAAGCCTTAGATCACTCCGTCTCCACTCCCTGTTATGTAAGATAACATGTCGTTTTGTTTAAATTAGACTAGCCACCTTATTCCAATGCTGATGTGAGAGAATATTGTAAACAAAGGGCCTGGTCCAGAAGCTGTTCTTGCATATGGCCAGCTGTCCACTCTCCTCACCCACCACATCTCCCCACACATCAGGTCTGAACAGAGAACATGCCACTCTGCTTCAAGAAGTCACCCCTGTACAGGTGCCCCCAAGAACAGCTTAGTGGGCACTACTAAGCTCTAGGAAATTTTGGGTACCAGTTCAGAGGTCATCCCTGATCCACTTGCCCTGTAGGTCCACCCTGGGCCTTGGCTGTTTGGAGAAGGCCTAATGCCAACCTGCTCGGTTTGCCCTGCTGGGCAGACCCAGCCACAGCCAGCTTCCACCCAAGACCCGGAGCTCCCTGCAGAAACTTCCAGCGGAGGAGGGAGGGGGCTGTGCTGGACTTAGGGAGCCCGGACTTTTCCACATTGCCCTGTGGGCTCAGTGTGACTGTTCAGTGCTTGCCCTTGTCTTTTCCTGGCTTTTGAGAATTGAAGATACTCCCTGCAGCCTTGTAGGGGACAGGATCCAAGCATGAGAGCTGCTAGAGAGCTCTCCTTGGGCCTTGGCTCCAGGTCTCCAATCAGGGCCCGCCAGCGTGCCCTTGGCCTCTGCTTCCTTGGGACCCAGAAATGCCAACCCCATGGGGCAAGGAAAAGACCATCTCGTGACCTCAGGCCCCCATTGGGAGTTTTAAGGGTCGTGAGAACCGAGACAGCTGCTGCTGGCTTGAACTGGAAGGAGAGATCTATAAGGTCAGCATGTCCACACGGCTGCCCACGTTCTCAGCCTCAGCTTCCTGCTCTGCTTCTCTGTCTTCTCTGCCCCCCCCCCATGGCCTGCTACAGTTTCTGCTGCCCCAGGGCCTTTGTCAATCCTAGAGCCTCTGTTAATTGATGGTGGTGGCTTAATTCTCCATTCGGCAGCCTCAGGGGCCCTCTGTCCCATTCCGACTCCTGGAGAGAAGTTATGGTATTGCTGCCAGTGTTTGTACAGTTCTTTGTCGGGCTCTCTACTTACCTGCTTTTCTGGTCCCAGCACTTAAGCCTGTTTATAAACAGCATCAAGGTGATGTTTATAAACTGTGGGGGTGGTCACCAGAGAGTGGGTGGCATGCTCATCTCTCCGGCTCAGTGTGGATGTTGAGAGTTGTATAATCACCCTGCATAAAGGAATCAACAGGAAATGTCTTAAAACACAGCAGCAGAACATTTATCTCCCATAGTTTGAGAATTCCTGGGATAGCTGTAGGAAAGGACACTAAGTAAAACCTCCAAAGAGGAGGACTGAGCAATATAGCAGAGCCAGACCCAATAAAGGAACTGCTGCTCAGGTCTCACCATAGAACTGCTTGCAGGTCAGGGCTGCACCAGGTGCAGGCTTCAAGAATGACCCATCCTCTGCTCGCCACTGCCAGCTACACAGCAGATTGGTATCTTGGCAGGGAAGGGAAAAGAAGGGGAGGGGAGGGAGGAAGAGAAGAAGAGAGAGAAGGAGAAAATCCTCCGACCTCCCATCAGGCACCTTGCTTTCTGACGTATTCCTGAGACTGTGAATAAACACACTCGAGCAGTTTTAAGCTACTTGGTTCTTGGTCATTTGTAACAGCAGCTGCAGCAGTGAAAACAGCAGTGTCCTGGTCAGCCATGGACTGCATCTGACTGGGTGGTCCCATAGATTATTATATCCTCTGGGATGTCTCGACTTCATAAGGCCCTTCTAGCATGCTCGCACCAGGAAATCGCCCAGTGATGCATCTCTCAGAACACAACCCTGTCATTAGGCGTCTGAGGGTATTTACTGCGCCAGCCAACACTGCTATGCTTTGGGCTATGCTTTGCTTTGTTTATGGAGCTGGGTGCCCAGGGTCGGGGCACACTGATGACCAGGGAAAACCCCTGGCCATTGTGGCACTTACATTCCAAAGGATGATTAAGCAAATGCAGAGACAGACACACGGACAGGCATGCCTTGGAACCTGAGAGCACCGGATCCAGGTCCACTTATGCACACCCCTTCCGTGCAGTGTCTCCCCAGGTACGAGGCAAGGGGGTGCAAGTTCTTCAATGTGGGCAACATCTGGTGTTTGTTTGGACTATGATCAGACTGAAGATGTGGTGTGTGTGTGTGTGTGTGTGTGTGTGTGTGTGTGTGTCCTGTCCCTGAGCTTTTTGTCACTCAAAGCTGGTGCTCTACAACTTAAGCCACAGCTCCACTTGAGGCTTTTGGGTGGTTCATTGGAGATAAGAGACTCATGGACTTTCCTGCCTGGGCTGGCTTCAAACCATGATCCTCAGATTGTCAGCCTCCTGAGTAGCTGGGAAGAGCCACCAGCACATCCGCCGCTGGTCTTTCCTTTCCTTTCCTTTTCTTTCTTCTTTTTCTCAGTCGAGCGCCGATTCGCAGCATCTCCTCCCCGCCTGGCACCCAGGAGGCGCCGGGCGAGTCCCGAGGCCGGCGGCCCGGAGCACTTCCGCCCCCGGGGCTGCCACGCCGCCCG